CATTTACAAAGACTGTTCTAACCATATTCTCGTTTCCTTTGTTCACAGTGTGATGTGGAGAGCGGCGACGATAAGGTAATACCAATTCCCTTTACTTACGCTGATTTCGATTTTTTTTTTTGGTCTTCATCTTTTTAATGTTTTTTTTTCTTTTTTTAAATATCTATTTCCCACCTCCACCCACTGTCTGTCTGTCTGTCTGTCTGTCTGTCTGTCTGTCTGTCTGTCGGTCGGTCGGTCGGTCGGTCGGTCGGTCGGTCGGTCGGTGGGTGGGTCGGTGTGTCTGTCTGTCTGCACATAGGTGCGCTATGTTGTGTGTGGGGGCTTGTCCGTTGATCTGACTTCCAGTTTGAACACATGTCAGCGGGTAGTAGGTTCTACTTCTTAACGACTTTCACCCTCTGTTGTTTCCGTCTCTCTCTCTCTCTCTCTCTCTCTCTCTCTCTCTCTCTCTCTCTCTCTCTCTCTCTCTCTCTCTCTTTCTGTGTGTGTGTGTGCTCTACATATATTTGAACCTCACTTTTAGTACTTTGGTAGACGTGTGCTATATCATGTCTTTCTTATAGAGCCAAGGATCTTGGTTGGTGTGGATGGAGACTTATTGTGAATAGAGTTTAGCTTTAAAGGCTGCTGACAGTGGAACCTCAACCTAAATGGTATTAAAAATAAAACATTTAATGGATCTTACCTTAATTAGGAAGTCCTCTTAAATCAGTGTAGTTTGTCTGTCTTTTTATATTAATTGTACCCAAATAATAATAAAAATAATTGCATTGTATAGCTAGTTTCCAAGCTCCACAGCATGCTCTAATGTGCTTTTCAAGGACAAACCCTACAGATTGTGAATACCAAAGAGCTGACTGGAGTAGAGACATTCCTTTTTTCGCACACTTTTAATATGTGTTTTTACCACCCTGAGTAAATGTTAGGGGAAGCCGGGGAAGGCTAAAGGAGACGTTTGGTTTCATTGGTGTGTATACTTGTTTGGTTATAGAGATTACTCTCGTCTTTTAAAGAAACGGAACAAGGGTCCAAAAACTTTACCTTCGATTTTCTCAAATAAACAGCATTTATCCAGATAGCCCCCTTGTGCTTAAAAGCGACCATATGTGGCTGTTACTCTTTAGGGAGAAGGGGCAAGGTTTATAAATGTGATGGTATTCATTTTTATAAATGCTATTCTTTTTTGTGCATTTGCATGTGAAACATGGATTGTGCAGAGCTATTTGTGTGAAAATACACCATCATACATGTATCTGTGATTGTGTAATGTTTCAGTATTGCATGACGATGATATGGAAGAAAGTACATGCAATATTTTATTTTCTTCTATGAATATGATAAGAAAACAGTGGAGGAAGAATTCAACTTCTTTTATTTTCAACATTCACTCGAACAGGGTAGACTACCCATGTTGCACATACCATAGGTTCCCAACAAGACTGTAGATCTTATCCCTTAATGGAAGTCAAGCAGACCAAAAAGGATAAAAGTAGAGTTGCACGCTCACAAACAAAAAATCTGAGATACTCGAAAATCTCTTCCCTTTGGGGAATTGAACTGGGGTCTCCTGCTTGTGACAGCGAAGCGCCTGGTCGCTACACGACAGATATCGGTGTGGGGAGAAGTGGAGTGTTGACCTTTACTTTTACTCTAACAACTGTTTTTTGGGTGGTTTTTTTTCTTTTTTGGTAAGTGTTTTACGGCGCTCACAACTGCATAAGGTCATTGATCTGATGTGCGGGGTATCATGTAGGTAGGTATAACAAAGAATGGCTTTTATGGCAGTCATACAAGTATGGAAGGTGTATCGTTTACTATAATCGAGGAAATTGTTTAGCATCAAAAAGCATTTGTGAGGCATTGTGGTGAAATCAGGTGCTCGTCAAAATAATAGAATCAAAGAAACCAACATTTTTCTAGCTGTTGGGCAAATTTTTTAAAATTTTCTTTTTTAGCTCAACACTTGTTATGTTCATTTTTAAAATACACCTCTGTGTAGATTTTAATGAAAAACGTTGATCAAAGACACTGAACTTTAAATTTGTTGTCTCTCAGGACACTGCAGCTCGGGAAGTCACCAAATTTTGACGCCTATTTTCTTGCTAATTTTACCCCTGAAAGCAGGTGACCCCCACCTCCTTCAGTGTCAAATACCTTCCATTCTATTCAAGATAGATGAGAATTTTTGTTCTCCCTATTTTTTAATGTGTGAGTGTGTGTGTCAGAAGGGGGTTCCTGTTCAGCATAGCCATTTCTTTGTCTGCTTTTTTGTGCTTTCATATATATTTGTGTTATTGGAAAGCTTTGTGAAATTAAATTCAGGACTGCTTTATGGCCTGGTACAGTGACAGCTCAGGTGTTGTTCGGAGAAGTGGATTATGTTCTCTAAGATATTACAACTCTGGTTCGTTGTTCCAAAGATACTGCATAAATAAGATGGTTCGCTCTCTTTATAAAGGGTCCTCAAAAACTGATGTGTTTGCTTGTAGGTTAGATGTTGCCTCTGGCATTGTTGAATGTTATTTTGTTTTGTTTCTCAAGTAGAAATTATTTAGGACAGTCTTTTCTCCAACTTTTTGTAGAAAAAGATGCATCACTCCCTAAAATTGCACGTAGTATCAAAAGGTCTGTAATTTGGTTGTCAGCACCAGATTTTTTAGGCTTTTTTTTTCCTTTGTAACTTAGACAGAGGAATGAATCATCTTTAAGTGTTCAGTCTTTGGTTGAACTGTTAGTGGACTGGAACATGCTTTGTAGAATAGAATGTCTGCTGTAGATTGTGGCCAATGTTATTTTCATGTTTTGACGGAAGTGCAAGTTGTTTTCGCTCTTCCTCTAACTTTGTACATGTATTGTAAATTTGCTTGTTTTTTTCTTCTATTACATGCCTGAAATGCTAAAAACTGGAATGAGTTTGAGGACAACTTGGCACTCATGTTGTTGTGCAAGATAAGGCAAGAAAAGTTTATAAAGTTTTCAATTTGTCAGAAGTGTGCACATCTTTTTGTTATTTATTTCAAGTCTTTGTGTTAGAACCAACTGATGACACTACAAATACCTACTTAATGTCAGGGCACAAAGACAGTAAAACTCTATACATGTGCAGTTGACTTTACTTATGTTGAACTTGCTTGAGTTGATCTTCGTTTGAGTTGACCTTTTTTCTGGGGTCCCAACACCTCGTCTTCTTTATCGTTCCCAATGGTTAACTTGAAGTTTGGATGAGTTGATCTATTTTTCACTTCCCCGATGATATCAACTCATCCGTAGTCAACTGTATGCAGTGTTTTCCAATTGTTATCAGTTCTTCAGAGATATAAAGTGTAAAAGTTTGGCTGAGGGGGATACAGCATCCCAGCAGAAAGACCAACATACTGAATAAAAATTTCTACCCACTCTTGAATCGAATTTGAATCTCCTGTGTGCAACAGCGAAGCCCCAAACCGCTACACAACAGACACCAGTCCCTAATCTCTAGTCAATAGTAATAAAACAAATGAATTGAACAGTAGATTTAGATCTAGATCATGATGAACACAGGAATTACATGTACATTGTGTTTGTTTTGACATGCTGGAGTTATGAGCAACGCTTGTTAAATTGGTCCATCCTCTTTTAAAAAATTGTTTCCTATGTCTCTGCAATGGTGTTAGTAGTCTAAGTAATAAAGTGGTTAAGCAATCTGAGCCATAATCGTGGGTGGTTGGCGGGTGCTCTGGTGTGGTTTGCCTCTTCTTTCCTCCTATCAAACAACTACCGTCTTTATCTCTCCTCCTTCTTTTTTATGTTTGTTACTCTTTTGTAACACCTCTAATGTTCGGCACTTATTTAACTTTATGTGTTGCAAGTGCCGCAAAGCTCTTACTAAAACTTAATAAAAGTTTGAGCCATAATCCTGAGATTGGGGGCTCGAAACTCAGCTCGGCCCCATGTTGTGTGCATTTTCCCATTTGGCTTTGTCGTTTAGGAAATGGACATTAAATTTTGAGGTCCAACCTCTTGAATAACCTTACAGTGTTGCAAAAAGTGTAAATCTATATAATTACGCTGTATTTTTGTTTAAATTGGTCCGCTTTTACCAAAACATTTCTCCTGAAATCATATCAGTGTTTGTTGCAATCATAGTTTAGGCAATAATATCCTTATTGGGTGGTTGGCGGGTGCTCTGGTGTGGTTTGCTTCTTTTTTCCTATCTAACGTCTATTATCTTTATCTCCCCTCCTTCTTTTTTGTGTTTGTTACTCTCTTGTAACACCTATAATCTTCGGCACTTAAATGACCTTATTGTGTTGCAAGTGCCGTAAAACGCTTACAAAAACTTTAAAAAACCCAATATCCTTACTATTGCAGTTGTTTTCAATCCAGCAGCAGCTGGGCCCTCGCCCTTCTGTCTAATGCCTTGTAGTGATAAGTACGGGTAATTTGTTGTGTTTTTATTGGGGGGGGTCCCCTCAGGGGTAGCCTGCTAACTTTTTTTTAAAAATATGTTCCTCTACACCGAAGTTTTGTGTTTCAAATTTATACTCAGCATTTCGGAGTCAACAGGAATTTGTTTGATACATGGTATATATTCATTTTAAACAAATCCACAGAATTATTTTTCTCTACGTAGCGCGTGAAGAAACAACCATTTTCAGCGATGTCTCCGTTTTTGTAGCATGACTATGACGCACAATTCCGCTTTAGGCCTTCCACTAAAAGTCTCAACGATTGGGCCATACGGGCAAAGCTACCGTGGTCTAACAGGCTAACAAAAGTTTGCAGATAGTTTTTTCTCAAGTTTCTTTTGCCTGTTGAGGTCATGGTTACGGTTAATAAAGAGCTGATAGCTTTTTGTATTAAACATTTCCTCTCCACTAACTCATGTCATAAGTTTTGTTAAAGTGTCCTTAATTAAGGCCTCCTTTGTGGTCAAGGGTGAAAATGGGCCACCTGTTAAGACCTATTTAGAATCAGAAGTAAAAATTCCCAGACGAAATGACCACTTCAGGTTAAACACGCACTGTTTGCACCCCTGTAAACGTCACCAGGGTGCAGCATTCAGTAGATGAGCACCATTGAGATGTCTGTCCGTAGACGATGTCTGCAGCTAGGACTTTCCTACATCATCTCAACGGTCTGCATTCTCAAGGTAGATCTTCATCTATGTCTATACTATTTTCCTGTTCACAAAGCTATCAGAGGATAGCAATGTGTTCGTGATTCCTCCATCGTATTGAAAAGCGTGAACATTTCCTCTCTATGACATTTGGTTCCTTGGCAAAGCCCATAGTCACCTTTTAGGATATTCTAACTTCACAAATTTTAATGCTGTCTATTTTCGGCAACCTCACCCAACCCCCTATTGTCTATAGAAAAAACTCCATACTGTAAGGTGTACAGTGTGTGTGGCTTTGAGTACTCATGGTTGGGTGGATTCTTGTCTTTGGCCACCACTGAACATTACGAACGACGCGTTAAAATGTGTCGTGTTCAAATGACACAGAGCACTGGTTCTCGGAATTCCAGAACTTTACAAATATATTTTTTTAACTTTGTAAGAGAAAAGAAATATTGTTTAGATGTTACAGGAATGGAAAGATTAGATTTTAAAAAGGAATGGAAGGGGAAAAAACAAACCAAACATTTCATGACTCCCCTTACAAGATCTTTTAGATTGGTGCATTTTGCGTTTATGGGTGGTTTTTATAGAAGCCATTTCTGTTTTCGAAAACACGTTTTTTCTTTATGAATTCAATGTCAAACAAATTCCTTTTGGGTGAATCATTTCTGTTCCAAATTACAACATACTTGTAAATTCTGTACAAAGTTTTACAGGGTTTTTTTAATCTCCCTGTATTCTGACTCCTTTTTCTCTCTCAGTTCCTGTCAACACTCGATTCGTTCAAATTTCAGAGGAATGGAAATGTAAAATTGAATAAACTGATAATGTCCGAGAGATATCGCCACAGTCGCCAAGCTATCATTTCTGTATTCCGTTTTGTACGATATTTACAAAAACAGTGAAGCTTTCGATTACTTTGATATCTGTTGTCACGATAGAAGTGCAGAGAGCAGTGCTAAATAGACTAAGGAAGAGCTAAAGTCGGTGCATGAGGGGAGAGACTGAGAGTGAGGTTTTGGATAAAACCAATCGAGTCGAAAAATTAAAGTACTTTTAAGTTTAGATAAAGGACTTAATGGAAAAGTGTTCGGAAGTACGGAGAGAGAGAGAGAGGGAGGAGGAGGAGGAGGAGGAGAAGAAGGTGGTAGTTCAAGAGAGACAGACAGAAAAATAAAAGTTTGTTGGCTATCATTAACCCATTCGACTACTCTGAAGCATGCTCCTGGGTATTTCCCCAGTGTTTACATCATTGACATTAGGCCTACTTCATGACATTAAAAGCACGCCTGTCCCGGGGTTTTTTGTTTTTTTTGGGGGGGGGTGTTTCGTTGTGCTTTGTTTTTTGTTTGTTTAATTCTAAATTTGGGTTGTTTGGGGTTTAATTGAGCACATCCAGAAAAATCACGCCCCTCGATCACATGATCTTATGAATAAATAAGACCATCGATTGAAAATTTGCATCAGGGACGATAGCAGGACATCAGAGAGTCTGCACTTCCAATCTCGACTTGTCTGCTACTTGTGTTTTCCCTACGAAGGGGAACGCACACGGTCCACCTGAGCTATTAAACGGATTGTGGCATAATTCTCTGATTAAACAGCAATACCATTAGGGCTACGTCCTGTGTTTGTTGAACTCAGTCGCTTGTCCAAATCTTTTTTTTCCCGGTCGATTATAGAGCAGTGTTGGAACCATCGAAAAATAAAGCGGTTAACATGACTTTTTTTTTTAAAGGGCTGTTTTCCTTTTTCTTGAATCGTATAACTACAAGGATATATAAAAGCAACATCAGAGACTAATAAATAGGCTAGCGAAAGGAGAAGTATTTCAGTTCGCTTTTGTTTTGGTAATATTGTTAGACAGTCACATAATATATACGTAATAAACTGCAGAAACGTATCTCGTAGCGTTTAGCCTTCGTCACATTTGTGGTTTGTTTGATGACGTTTGTTTGGCATATTCAGCTTGATGACCCAGGAGATCGATTCTATGATGGGGGAAGAGCAGCTGCAGTACTAGGCTATGACAGGTTTGGTCTAGAGTCGACACCTTCAAGAACTGACATGGTCCGATTGCAGCGTTACAAGAATATAATAAGAAGCAAGAGTGAAAGATTTCTTAGCGTATACTAAAAGTGTATCCTGCAATTTGACCAGAAATACTACCCTTTCTTCAGAAAATCAGCCCTACCAGTATATTATAAGTCTTTGAAAACTGCGAATGTTTAGAGACTCAGCAAGTCCAGAGGACTTCAAGTTAAACGATGGCTATATGTATTTCCATTCGAAGAAGAATTCTAATTCTACTGGTTATTTCTCGAGTTCTGCCGGTTGTGGCTGATGATATCGGTGAGCCCCTAGATGACAATAGACAAGCCATAATAAGACTGAAGAACTTCCTGAGTGATAATGTTATCGTGAAATACAGACTACAGCCTCCTGGCGAAAATGGTGTTGTGGATGTCACCTTCAAGTTTTGGCCGGATGCGGTAAATAAAATTAAAGTTTCAACTCTCATACTTTATTTTTGTTTCTTTTCATTTTTCTTTTCTTTTCTGCTGCTGCTGCTGTTGCTCTTCCTCCTCCTCCTCCTCCTCCTCCTCCTCCTCCACAATCATGATCATCATCAGGATTATCATCATCATCGTCGTCGTCGTGGGCTTCATCATCATCATCATCATCATCATCATCATCATCATCATCATCATCATCATCATCATCATCATCATCATCATCATCATCAATAACAACAACAACAACAACAACACCAACAACAACAGTCATGTCTAATAAAGCTGACCAATTGTCTGATACCTGCATCTTTTTCCAGGTGATAAAAGTGGACGAATATTCCCAGTCTGTGAGCACTGTCGGTCACGTAAACATGGCGTGGGTAGATCCTGGTTTAACCTGGAATGCCCCTCTTTACGGCAACATAACAAGGATCCACTTCCCAGCTGACCAGTGAGTGTTATAGGCTACAATAATGATGATGATGATAAATGATGGTATTTGTATAACGCAAATCCTCGCTTAACAGCAAGCTCTATGCGCTTCACAATCTATACTATTACCCCAGCAGACCTGAGAGCATTCAGAAACAACCTCAACTTCCTGAGAAGCATCCAGTGCAAGCAGCCGTTTATAGGCGCTAAAACACTAACATACTGACAAGATACAATAATAGGGGGTTCTCGTGGTCGAGGGGTTACGGTGTTCGCCCCTCATGCAATACTTGGTCCCGGGTTCTAATCCGGACAGCGACAGAGAATTTTCTTCTCTAAAATTTTCTCCTTTCTCCTCCTTTCCTGCTCTCTGAAAATGTTCCGTCGTTTGTTTGTTTTTCGTCTCCACTTTTCTGCCCCCCCCCTTTTCACTTCCTTTGGCCCCCTCCTCGGGGCTCCTGGCTCTCTCTGTAGCCCTCCTACAGCTACTCCTTGGTTCCTTCTTATTGCTGTCTTTCAGCCACACCCCTGATCTTATAGTATGTAATATCTAACACCTAGCCTTTTCGAATAAGAGCGAAAAAAGTCTGAGGTCCGGTTGCGCACGTTAAAGATCCCTTGATGATCCAAAATCGATAAGAGTAGGCTGCTATAGCTAGAGTAGTCATTAGATACATTTTTTTATGTTCCTGATGAAGCCCGTAATAAAACGTTGGACCTATATAACATTTTCTTTAAAATTCTACAAGTCTTGACCATTTCTTTTATTCTCTGCTGTTTATGGTGATGATGATGATGATAGTAACAATAATAATAGGTTTAGTAGTAGTAGTAGTAGTAGTAGTAGTAGTAGTAGTAGTAGTAGTAGTAGTAGTAGTAGTAGTAGCATTCTTATCGTTATCATTATTATTATTATTTTGTATCCATCTCAAAATGAAGCCTCATATTACCACTACCCCCACCTCCCACCCTCAAACTACCCCCATTCACTCACTCCAATGGCCACAGATCCCATCATCTGGACTGATCCAGTCATCTGTGAGTCTCGCAGAAACAGGTAAATGCTTTTCCCCTGAGGCTAGCAAACGATCATTAGTATTTCCTGTAAGGAATCAATACCCAGTTCTAGGATACACCAGCAGGAAATGTGGAGCCGATAACAAAGCAGTAGAACCTCCGTGTAATCAGTTGGCACCGGTTATTAGCAAAAAAGTTTTTCAGAATATTATCCTGATCGTATCTGGGATGTGACTCCACAGTTATTTCAAAAATGTACTTAATTATTTCTAACACATTCTTTGTACTTTAGTACGGCTCCTTTCCTAAAATAGTTACGTTATTATCTGAAAGCGAAATAACTATTGATTTTAACCAGATTCTGTCGTAATTTGCTTAATATCCGGAGCAGCCCCTCCTCCCCTCCTGTCTACATAGTTCATTTAAAGGGAACTAGATCTATTGATTAGTTCCGAAGATAATTAAAGGGTCTTTTACTCGCAAACCGCAAGAGAATAGAGTCAAGAGATTTATTAGTATCGTCGTAAGTGCATTGACTTGCAAAAGGAAAAAAAAAAAACCTTGACGCGTAAGCAAAATACAGTAGAACCTACTCGAACAGCCACCTGTCCAAGATGATCAACTGTGCAACCGATCCCTTCCCTCTCCCCCCATTGCTTTTTTATGTCATAAGGACACTGTCCCAGACGTCCTGTTTTCTGAGACAACCATTTCTTTCGTCCACAACAGATGGCTGTCTTTAACAATGTTGACTGTATTATGTCTTTGCTATGCTTTTTCTTTGACCCTTTGACCCTTTGACCCCCTCCCCACACCCCACTTAATTTTAGCCAACAGGAGACAAGCACCAAAGATACTGTCACAAGACGCCTAGATTTTGACTCTTTCACCTGAGCGTCGATAGTTCAGTCGGTATTAAGTTGAAGTACCGTGCGGAAGACCCTGGTTTGAATCCTCGAAAGTATGTTGTTCTAATTTAGATACTTGTAGAGGTTTCAAGGCTTTCAAT